CAACCAGCTGTTTTTGATCAGCTGTTTTCCTGTTGGCAAATTGCTGTTGGCAAAAATTTTTCCAACAGAAACCAGCAGCTTCCCCTCAAAATGAAATGTCACTTTGCTCTCTCAACTTCCCCTACTTTGCAAGTTTTTTGCGTACGCGAACGCAAAAACTTGTAAGTTTTGGTTAAACATGAACAATTAACAGCTACGCGAACGAACCTATTATTGCGCATGCGCGTGTGCACTCCATACGCCTCTGCCTGATTATGGTTATTGACAGTGCGTCGATGCGCATTGTAAGTTTGAAATAAGTAATGAAAAACTAAGAAACACGAAATTGGTGGATTTATTTTAATGAAGTGAAGATATTATTCCGGCTGAGTCTTCCCACTGCTAAGACGTCTTAACTTAAGTACGTATGTATGTAGTCTGAGAGTCCCAGTAAATGATTTCATGATGATATTAAGAGTCATCCTAGAGAGATGTCAAACTAGTCTTTAATTAATTTGAAAAAGAAGGGTAGCCTTTTATTTCCCTTTCAACTTTCTGCTGGCGGTGCAATTCTCTTGCCTTGGGTTTTTTTCAAAGTACATAGTTGCTGCTGGTGTACAATTACCAAGAACTTAGTTAGACGCCCTTAACTCTGGGTTCCGAATCATAACAAAGCATTACATATACATATTTCTGAATTAAAGTATGCTTTTGTATAAATATTTCAAATTCTTTATAATATTTCTTATTTTTGGAAATGAAGTTCGTAAAGTAAGTAAGAATGAAAATAAATTTTAATTCCATATCGACGCGTTTTTAATTTTGTGTCTTTTGGGGTGTTTTTTATGCATCGGTTCTTTTCGGAAAGCCGATAAAATCAGGCTTTTAATCCAGTTTTTTTTTTTTTTTAAACGGTTTGAAACCTATGAATAAAAAAACGCGATTCATCGAAAACCTATTTTTTGGAAACGATGCCCATCCCTACTTTCAATTTTAAGGTTACTGTCCACTGTAAAAATTACCCTAAGGGCCGTTTGCACCATGTCTAGTTAATGCTAACTGGAGGTACATCCTTCGGTTAAGTACATCGACTGCTTTATCGATGACGTATTATTCGCTAGGTGTCGATAACGTCGATAACGATGCTTAACAGGGAGCTAGTATTAACTAGACGTGGTGCAAAGGGCGCTAAAGCTTAATTTTGAAAAAACAAAACTGAAGTCAAACAAAAATTTGAAACTTCCTCAATAAAAGTAATGAACGAAAGTAAAACTTAGGTATCTTAAATCAGACCACCGAATTAGCGGAAAATATGAAAGTTCGTATATTTGTTAGCCAATGTACATACATATATATATGTGTATACACGCATAACTTGAAATTGCCACTAAATTTGGTCAATGCTACACTTGCCTATTGATACCCAGCAAAGCTAAACATCAGAAAATAAGTATAACAAGTGCGCAAGCAGAGATTACTTGATTCGCCTCAACCACGACCACATCCACAATCATTTGGCCCTAATCCAGGTCAGTTCACTATTTCGGTCATATCGACCGCAGGCAGCTTCCACAATAATGTGATACATTGATTTAATTGCTCACCATTTCCTGGTTCCCCTTTTTTCAATGTAGAGCTCTGCTTTGATGGCTACGTCAATATGTATGTACATATGTTTTTTGTTTTTTGTTTCGTCGATGATTTTGATGTGCGTCGTGGTGCTAAAACCCAACTCTTTCATTCATTCAAAAATTTCGGCCGTTTTTTTTTTTACCAAAAAATGATGGATTTACCCATTTACAACCAAGCCAATGGCGGCAATGACAACTAAAACAACAGCTAAGCATTCTCAACTAAGTACATTAATTCATTCATATGTACATTAGGGTGGTCCAAAAGTGCGTGTGAAAAGGTAAATTCGGGATTTTTATGCTCTCACCTCCTAGGATTGTTCTACACAGACAAAAATATACCCTTATTTTTGTTTAATTTGACAACAAAAAATATTTAGAGGTCGCTTAAAGCGCTCAAAGTTTTCCATGTATTTTATATGGGGAAAAACACTTTTCATAGAAATGGTATAGAATTCTTAAAAATCAATATTTTTCGATTTACTTGTTTTGAACCACCCTAATGTGCATACATACATATTTATGTTTATGCTATCACTTTGCTGTTATTGTGCTCAGCCACTCCTCTGGCCAGCAGCGGTCATCGGCGGCAATCACTTTGTATGTATGATTTGCTTGTCGGTTCATTGATGGCAATTATTTTGCCTTTTGTGCGCCAAGAAGAATATTTTTAATTTCTATGTAGTTTCTTGTTAATATCCGAGTTGGTAGATGTGGATAATTTGCTGTGCAGTAGTCAGTCAAGGCGTCTAGGTAGGACATTCTCTCGGAAATTTGGCGCGCACCAAGCCCATGTGAGCGTTTTTTCGCATGGATCAAATTTGGATTGCAAAGTTGGAAGAGCCTTCTGGTAAAAATCTCTCATCGATCGTTTATTGGCTCCGGCTGTAGTACAACTGCTGATATCTCTTCTGGGTTTAAAATCGACATTCTTAAAACTTGCTTAAAGGTTGGTCGACTTCCACTTAAGGCTTTCCTCTGCTTCAAGTTTTCTCTCTCTGCGTAAAGTTCAATTAAAGTATGTTTACATATATTAATGTACATGAATATAATCTCAAACAAAGCTCGTTTGCAAATCACCCCGTTTACAAAGGCAAATCTCAGATTATTAGACATCAAATTTGTTGTGCTTGTTTTTCTCACAACCCAAGGAAAAGGTAATCGCTATCACCATTTTCTGCTAAATTAAGTGATTTAAATATATTTTAACTTAATATTTTATATTCAAATTTTTTTTTTTTGTGCTGGAGACCGTCTCTAATGAAACATGTTGTGGAAAAACAACAAAAATTTATACTTTGTAGAAGTTATAGCTGCTATTTCGGAGATCACCACATCTCCTCCTCAGACTTCATCATCGAGGGGACTGAGATTTGAGCAAATAAATAACTTAATATTCTATTAAAAATATCTATTTTCCTTGCAAGCGTCAATTTTTTTTTTTATTTCGCACATTTGCTATTTTTCTTCTTCTTCGCAAAATAATCGATGAAACTAGGTTGGACAGCGAAAATTTATCGGTTTAATCTGAAATTATTTTGTAATAACTTATTCACGAGGAAGGAATATTTAATGGCTAATCTCTTTTTATTTACATCCATCTCTTTGCCGCGGTTACATCCAAGGGCTCTGTGAACTTCTTCATGAAAAGTTTCAAGACCAAACTGGCCACGAGTAGTTCGAAAACTGTCAAAAAAATCACGTCACAACTATCAATAACATAGATACACAAAGAAATTGTCGCGGATCGGGGATCAGATTATCTTTGTCTTTTGTATTTTAGTGCGCTGAGCCCGAATCTGAAGTCCCCTTTGCTTCCTCATGTCAGGATTTCTCCCTTACCTAAAAAAAAAAACAAGGCAGATATTATTTGATAAGCATAATTTTTGCCTTTCTCTTTCTTACCCTTTTGCTTTCATTTAGACAAGTTATGACAGGAGCACTTACAACCACTCTGATGGCAAAGCTCTATACTTTGGTGCATTTTTCATCAGTGGCCCGGCCGGTCAGAAATATAACGTTCAATACTGCTCTTTAGGCCTTAAGATCACAATAGTATAGCAATATAACGTCTACACTTTCTGAACGAATAGATCAGAGTATTCCTGCTCGAACGCTTAACTCTATGTCTAACGTTGTACCGGGGACGTTGCAGGCAAGCCTGCAGTAGTCCGCTTAGCCATCAGGCTAAGAAACACTCCTCGGAAATATTTAGAAACTCGAACTTTTTACCTGAAGAAACGGGGTGTTGCAAGACTATTCCCAATTGGATCCTACCCTACCTTGAAACAAGGATTTAGTTATCATTTTCACCGAGGTTCCTCTCAGGAACTGTTCGTAAATATCATGTTTAAGCTATCGCATCTATGCGACGTATTGCAGGTAGTGGTGGATGCTATAAGGGAAGCAATGGTCTGGCTACTAAGCGTACGCCCTTTTCTAAATTTTCTCTGACAGCCAAGCAGAAATTAAGACTCTAGAACCGCTAATGGTAACCGAAAGTCGATGGGGAAGGCTTAAGGTCACCAAGGACTGCACCCAAATTGGACTTACTTGGGTTCAAGGACGCAGTGACATTGCAGGAAACTGTATGATTGATGAGTTGCCCATTTTTGGATGAGCTCACAGTCGTATCAAAGAACGTTAGGCCAAAACCCCAACATGCACTGTTGCAATGTCCTTCTGGCCGGAGGTAGGTGGACAAATGAGCTACTGTAACTGGCCAACCGGCGCTTAGTAAGCGCAAGTTCTTGGTTCTGATAGGAGTGATGAGTGGTGCAATGACCTCTGCTGATTTGCTTTAGCAATACCAAAGTTTAAGTATTTCGGCTCTTTGATATTTCATCAACAATCCCGAGGAACTTTATGTAGCCGAAATCCAACGCAAATTCGTGTATTCAACTTTAACTACATATCGTCACCTGAAATGCAAAAAGACGTAACAACATCGTAACTGAAATGGAAAAAGTCGTGACTAATATTTTTTATTTTTTTATTTTTTTTTCAGTTGTAATTCGACGAAATCCATCATATCAATGAAGCCCATAATTTAGAATTTTTCATTAGTTACGACTTTTTGTATTTCAATGACGATGTTTGTTACGTCTTTTTGCATTTCAGGTGACGATATGTACATATGTATGTACGTCTAAAATCATTTAAATCATTTAAACATAAATAAAATGGTCTTAAAACCCTCATCAATCTACTCAAAAATGTCTCTTCGCTGCACAGGTTCCTCTTTGCCGTCCGCAACCAAATTTGAGTAATTAATTTCATCACGCTCATTGCCTTTTTATTACTTATTCACAATTTTATAAAAAAAAAGAAAAAATTTCCAAATAAAATATTTTATCCATTCTTTCATATGAATATTTTTTTCTCTTGCAGGCCTTAAATGGATTTCTAATGATACTGACATGCGAAGGCGAGGTCTTCTTTGCAACGCACAGCATCGAGAGCTATTTGGGTTTTCATCAGGTGAGTAGCCACAAGCGAAGCGCACACACAGAGGCAAAGCAAGTTACCTGAGGATATTTGAACAAAGCAAACCAAATATTTACTTCTAGCTAGTGCGGTTACTGGTTACAAACACACGATATTTATTTATTATACAAACTCCTTATATTTTATCTCGCCTGCGAGTGATTGAATCTTTTTTTTTTGGTATCAATTAAATTGATATTTTGTATTTCTTTCAGTATTTGATTGACTAGTTTTTTTTTTTCTAAATTTGTGGCATTTTTGTGAATGAAATCAATAGTTTGTTGTAGCTGCACCCCATTTCTACGCACGCAAACGAACTCTTTCATACATCTGAGATTATATATATATACCTGTCCATATAATTAACTTTTTCCTCTTTTCAAAATCTTTAATTGCTGGTGATTATCAAATGCGCTACCGTCTTTCATTTGCGGTTAATTACACTTTGAATGCCATGAGTTTTTTCTATTGTGTTTTTTTTTTTGTATTTTGAATGGAATTTACATTTTTCGAAACAGAAGAAATTAATAAACCAAATATAAAAATGTGTTCATTTTACAAATGACACGTAAAAGCTTTGCATTTGTCCATACATGCTACATACATGCATAACATACATGTGCCACATATTTACATACATATGCCTTTTAACAATGCAGAGTTGTATGTAACCAGGAAGTTTTTTCGCTGGGGGCTGAGCAACTTTTGAATGGAGTATGCGTTGTCTATACACATGTAAAAAGTGCTAGAAGACTCTACGATCACCACATGGCACTATGGCTGCGGCCAAAAATCCACCAATGCAGATAGGCGCTTAAAATCGTGTACTTATGCTGCTTAGAACCTTTAAAAAATCCACCAATGCAGATAGGCGCTTAAAATCGTGTACTTATGCTGCTTAGAACCTTTAAAGACGTTGGTTTAAAAATCAACGAAATCGGCCCACAACCATACCCACCGAACATGTACCGGTTTTGCCAGACCACTCGTCCAGCCCTTCTAAAGTGGAATAAAATATTTTGATTGGAAAACGGAATAATATGAACAACAAAGTCGGGGATGCTGTATCTTTTGGTCGTGTTACCGACTTCCGATTTTGACCGGAAGTGGGTTAAACAGATCGGAAGTCCATTTCAGAGGAAATTTTCTGACAAAAGTTACATATTTTTGTCCGTCCGCAGAATCCGAATCTGTGGTAAAAGCATGTATGTGTATGTTAAAAAAATAATGGATTTCCAGTCCATACACACGTTGAATATTTGTTCATTTTTGACTTTGGTGACGTGTGAAAATAGTACTTTTGTACAACAGCAGCAAGATACAGCAGACAATCCATAAACCAAATGAAAGTAGATATAATGCCCTTTTATTAAATATATATATCATGTCGGACGATATCGGACAAAAAGTCACATAAATAAATATAATTATAATTTCTTTTCTAATTAGAGTAAAGAGAATAAAGTCCGCCTTTTAAAAATTTTGAATGCAAAAAAACCGAAAATTGGACTTTTGGCCGCAGAAAGTCCTTATTTCAGCCATAGTGCATGGGATAGAATGATCTTTCCTTTAGTGTGGTTCATCGTAGTAAACGATAAGTGACAAGGTCTTCGATGTTTAAAACTAGGAGGTAGGTTTGAAGCCATCATCTCAAAACGCCTACAGAGCGCGTTCTACGCAAAATGGTATAGTCAAAAGGGTCAAACTGCAGGGAGAAAAGATACACTTTTATAAAAAAGTCAAATATATGGGAGTTATCCTCGATGGGAAGCTCTCATGGAACTCTACCTTGGATAGATAAAGCTATTAAAACCTGGAGAATCTGACCTTAATTGGCTAAATAGTTACTTGAACAATAAGAGGAAGGACTTTGCATTCGTTTACCTATTTCTTACGAGAAATAATATTAGCCACAACCTTAACATCCAACAGACATACTGATGGTTCCAAGACCGACCGTAGTGTCGGAGGAAGGGTCTTCGGTATACAATAATCTAATGTAATCTTCCTATTCGACACAACAACTAGAAGCCGTCTCTGCTTGGTTGTGCGGATGCCAGATCCCAGGTAGATAAAATCCTTCACTTTTTCGGAATTGTAGCTGCCGACAGTGGCGTATGTACCAATAAGCCAAGACTATCGTGTGTCGCAAAGAGGTACCTCGTCTTGTCCTCTTCCACCGCAAGATTAATCTTGTTTCCCTCGTTTTGTGATTTTGTTCTGTAATTGTGGAACCACACATATCCCAACATAAAATTCGTTTTTTTCGTAGTTTTAACTATAAAAACTTAAACCTGAAAGATGATCAAACTCGGCCGACTACCACGCCCACCAGCTATACGAAAACAAATATAAAAAGTAAATTTTACTAAAATCGGTCTGTACCGTACTAAATGGAAAATTTCATTAAAATCGGATCTCTATTCGTGATGTTTCGAAGCTTGGACTTTATTCCTCTCTCAGACCCCTGTGTGCCGCTGTTATTCAGATGAGCAGCTCACACTTTCATTTTATAAGTCCTATTTGAGGCATCTACTCTTCGTTCTATAAAAATGGGTATTTCAAATCTACGAAATAGTTGCGTGTGTCGATTTTTCTGATCTTATTGCTTTTTCAAGGTTGACGACGCTCATGACGTCTTGTAATTAACCTAACTGAATTTCAGACATGGATATCCTAACACTGAAAAAATTGTTCGAGCGGGGACAAAATAGTCGGGATTGAGAATAGGAGCGAATTACAATAAGCATTACCATTTTCATTACCATAACCATTGTAGTACTCTACCACTGCCTTTGTTATTGTAGTCTATTGTCAGTGTCATTATCATTACCATAACCATTACCATCAACAATACTATTACCTTTACCAGTACCATTAACATTACTATTACCATTACCACTGATAATGGTATTATTGAGATTAGCATTACCACAACTGTCATGACTGTCATTACCAATAACATTAGCATTCCTAAAACCATTACCAGTACCATTACCAATATCGTCACCATTATCACAGAGGGCCCGCGGCGGCCTAAGTGTCCTTCCTAAAAACATTAGATAGGGAAGCCACGGAGTGGTAGGTTCACTCCCATTATCGTTACCAGAACGCTTACCATTACAATTACATTACCGTTACAATTACAATTATCTCTGCCAATTCCACTATTATTACCAATACCATTATTATTACCACCATCATTGTCACTAGATTACCACTGCCATTTCCTTTACCATTACCATTAACATTACAATTAAAATTAGCATTTCAATCACCACAGTCATTCCCATTATCAGTACCATTACAACTTCCATTACCACTACCATTTCCATGAAGATTACCAATACCATTATTATTACCATTTAATGGTACCTTTACCACTACCATTACCATTACCATAGCATTATCAATACCATTGCCGTTACCATTACAAGTATCTGTATTAACATTACCGTTACCTGTGTCTGTTTTTAAGCATACATATATATGTACGTACGAATGCTACCACATATGTATGTCTGTATATGTATGAACACAAGTGTGTAGTAAATGTGTAATTGAATTTATTCGTTGATTTTTTCGTTCAAAAAACAGCTGTGCATCAGTTTGAACAAAAACATTATTACTTACATACCTACATACATACGTACATGCTTTTTGCACATGTATTTAGTTTGGTGTCCAATGCAGCTGATCGGTTGCACAATATCCCAAGTTGAAGTCTTAATTTTTAATTGAGATGCCAAAGTGGGCGGTACAAATGTCGATTTACACATTTACAACTAAATTAAAAATTGCACAACTGTTCGCACATAAATGCATTGCTATGTACCACCAGCATATGTATGTGTATCGATATGTTGGCACAATACAAATATTGTTTGAACAATTGAATTGCATCCTGATATCGAGTATTGATGTCAGAAAGTTGCAGCGCGAGCGAGCGGCTTGGCAAATTCGTTGCAACCCAAATCGTGTAGCAAAGGTGAGGTTTTTTCTTAGTTTACATTGCAATTTTTTTTTAGTAGCAACAGTTAAACGGAGGACGTGAACAAAAACAATAACAAAATTCAATAAAGAAAGAAAAGTAAGTCAAAATAACAACAAATAGCGGCAAATATGCGGCACTTACTCACCAGCTCCTCCGTACAAAGACGCTGGTGGCTGGCAGTGAATATTTAGCTTTGAGTTTGTTTAATGTTGTTTTTGTTTGCGATATTAGCGCAGAGTAAACAAACGCAACAAGTTAATAAGATTGCGTACACACCCCACCGGCCTGCAACGAAAGGGCTTTGCGGCTTATTCGCAGCCAGCTTACAAGCTAAACAAGAGCAAGCAAGCACTGGCAATAGTTACCGGAATCCCCGTCGCACACTCACACTCGCCCATACATACATATGTATGTATGTAGGTGAGTACACTGGCCCACAATCATCTCACTGCAATTCATTTCAATAGCTGGCAGCAAGTGGAATCCGCAAATGCGTTCGTTTTAACGCCATTGAAGAGGTACGTACAACAACCACAACAGCAACGACATTAAGCCAAATGTACAACCGATGCGCCAATAATCGATTGCATCTGCCCTTTTGCTGCTTTCCCGGTTATTGCTTCCTTGTTGTAGTTTTAGTAGCTTTCTGTTCGTTTTGCCTGTTTTAGCAGCGCCCTGCGACTGCGCAATCCACCCGCTGATCTGATTTTTATTTATTATGGTCAGTGGCTGGCTGGGGCCACTCGAAATATTTTTGTTGCTTTTTGTAACACCAACTGTGCGAAGGCAGCACAGTGATGCTAAAAACCTCTCCGAATCCTATCCTCAAGCAAATACTGAGCTCGGCTGACGGCAACTTATTCTTATTCTCAACCTTACAATGGGGGGGAAAGGTAAACTTGGCTGATAACAGCGATCTTACATAGACCTAACACCGGTCTCTAGTTTTCCAAAATCATTCATTGAGGCGCTTCTAGAACTTAGTCAAAATACAATGCACGAAAGTATCCTTCAATGAACAGAAACAAGACAGTCTACTTAATACTGGATAGTGACGGAGTTGGTCTCAAATAGAGATGCACACGTGTCTCACACATACGCGAGTATTTGACAAATTTTCTTTCGTTCATGCGTGAATCATAGACTGTAAGGTAACATCGCGTAAAGGCTCTCACTAATACCCTTGGAAGTTTATGAAAATACATAGTTGGTATTTGTTGAACTGCATGAGAAAAGTTTAATTTCGCCAATAACTACTACTCATATTGAATGTTAAATTTTTTCATGATTTCGTTGGCTCTCATGTTATGGCTGTGTTTAGCTCTGCTATGAGATAACTTGGGGGAGGATCGAGATTTCTCCTATTCACCGATAGCTGGGTTGCTCTGGATTTAGGCAAAGCTCCAGCTATTCCGTTTCACTTATTTTCCCTTACCGGTTTATTGCAGTTAGCTGCTTTTCCCACAGATATGATAGCTCAGTCGCTACCTCAGCGGCTGTTGTTTTCAATTGGGACGGGTCGATGTCGGTAGCTTGTGACGGCCATGTTATTTTGGCGGCGCGTGTCTTGCCTGTTGTTTAATATACAGCCACTGTTACCTAATAGCGATCCAAGTGATAAAATTTTATTTTCGGTGGTCCTTCAGTCGACTCTCCAACATATACGAAAAGACTGCTACGGAAATAATAAATCAACCCACATATCTCAAGGGAACGTCAGATAAGCCAAGAACATCGCCGGTGCTCGTGAAATTGGCAGTCAATTTCTAGGATTTCGGGTTAGCGATGCTGGTTGACCCCGCTGAACTTTTTCTTGTGGAATTCGTTAAAGTTTTATTTCGATGCATATAACCAGTCCGCTTAACGTAGACCATAACTCAAATTCAGCCGAATCCATGCGGCAGAGTCATTGAAGATCTATACTACCAAGTGACCTCTAGACTTTTGTTAACACACAGATCCCATAAGATAGATCGTGTCAGCTGACATGTTCTGCGTTTTTCGTCCGTGGCTAACTGCGCTTTAAGTTATGCACCCCGCGGATTCTTCCCTTACAAATTGTACGCGCATGAAACATTTTTAACAGATAATTGCTGGCATGCGTAAATTTTAGGTTGGCCTGAAACAAAGAGCATAAGGACCTCGCTATATTGGTTGCCTTCATGCATCATCGGAAGACTTCCCATTGCAGTCAGGATTGCAATATTTTGACAGGTTCGTAAGATCGTTGATTGCGACCTACTAATCTACGGTAACCAAAAAGGCGTAGGCTCATTCAGAAACGACCGGAAAGTGTCATAGACGTTGAAAACTTTCTCTTATTCGATTCCCCACCTTCGATCTTACTCGATGCCTGTCTACCAGTGGGCTATTGGGAAGCTCGTTTCAAGTTATCCATCATTCAGTTCGGTAATATACATATTAAATTGTACCTACTTTTTACCACAAAAATGTGCTTTGTGACCACCCTAATACTATATTCCTTTTTCAACAGCTTATTCAATTGGGCATGGGAATTGATATATTTTTTAGTTCTCTTTAATTTCTTCGATACTGATCAGCTGTTGATTTGTTTGCTTTGCATGCAGTGAGAATTCCAAGTCTCATCGTCGATTGCTGGCAATTATAGACGCGTGTACAATATGAAATTAATATGATATTGCTGTGGAAAAACTAACCCAGTGGAAAGTGTTTCTAGGTTAAGTTAGAATGGAACGCGTTGTTTAAGTTAGGTTGTTAACATAGTGGTAATAGCCTAATGTGATGCCACTGGTGAAGATGTACACATTTTTTTTCCTAAAATTAAACCACTGCGTGCAACTTAAGTTACGTCTAGTTTTAGGAAAATACACCACATACTAATTTGTTAAACATTCGCAGAAATATTTTGCAAGGGAAATGTCTTCATTTCTTCCGCGTCTCTGCAGTTCATCCACTAATACCTATTTATTAAGATTATTATTTTTTATTAAAAGTTTCAGTACTAGTCTGTAAGATAATTGGTTTTTGTTGTCTAATTATTTTTTACTTGAAATAAATAAATAATTAAATAGGGCTGCCACCTCTTTGGAAAGTCGAATTAGTGCCAAACGAAAGTGTTTTAAAACAACTTTACTTAGAAAATGTTTTTAAATTAGGGTTGCCACCTATTCGAAACTAACTATAACTTAAAGTTAACTGCTTCACTTTTAATTTTCAAATAATATTTCACAACACTATCTACATAATATATTATATTCATTTTACATATAGAAAAAAAAAACACTGAATCCCATGCACCAAAGGCGCTTAAAAGAGCAAACGAACCAAAAGCTGCACACATATGAAAGAACTTTGAACCCAAAACAAAATTATGTATGGCTCAATTTAGCGCAGCAACTCCTTGTTTCTGATACCAACAGTTAAAACAAGAACAAAATCAATGGCAAGTCGAATGAGCGGCGCATGCGCAACGTTATGCCAAACCAGGTTTTCAATTTGTTCGCGAAATGATTTATAAACCGTTGCGCCAATAAAGAAATCAATAAGCAATACAAAGAAAGGCGAAGCAAACAAACAAATCAAACAAGAATGTATAAAAAAATAAGAGATAAATAAAAGGAATAAAAACAAAACAATACATACCACAGCGCCCAGCGCCACGGCTACTGACCTCTGATTTTTTTGTATTTCTTTTGCTTCAAGCATTTTCTACCTTTTTTTGAACATTATGCCCTCCCCTCTCTTACCTCTCTTGCAGTCGGATATTGTGCATCAGTCCGTTTACGAACTGGTCCATTCCGAGGATCGTGAAGAGCTGCAACGGCAGCTATTGTGGAACTCCTTCCTGCCCGCCGATATGTCCACCATTCAGTTGGCCGATACGTTAGCGCCCGATAAGGCGCTCTATTTGGAGCGTAGCTTTACAGTGCGATTTCGTTGCCTGCTCGATAATACTTCCGGTTTTCTGCGATTGGACATACGTGGACGTATCAAAATTCTGCATGGCCAAAATCGAAAGACAGAAGAACCTCCATTGGCGCTATTTGCCTACTGCACACCATTCGGACCGCCAAGTCTGCTCGAGATACCACACAAGGAGAATATGTTCAAATCCAAGCATAAATTGGATTTTTCGCTTGTCTCCATGGATCAACGGTGAGTATACTTGGTAGGAGGTAGAATTACTTAGCGCAAGTTTTTGTTATCAAACTCAACAGCGGCAAGCACGTTTTGGGTTACTCAGATGCGGAACTAGTCAATATGGGCGGCTATGATTTGGTGCATTACGATGATCTGGCTTATGTGGCTAGTGCGCATCAGGAATGTGAGTAGACAATTTTAAATATTGAGTTGCAGATGAGACGTTTTCAAGCACTCATCCTTTCTTTTGTTTTAGTACTAAAAACAGGCGCTTCCGGCATGATTGCATATCGTTATCAAAAGAAGAGTGGTGAATGGCAATGGCTGCAAACAAGGTGAGTATTTTTTTAGTATAAGCTCTCACATATGAAGTGACACAGAAATATATGAAGACACCTTGCAGGAAATAGTTCTACAAATCCTTTCCCAACCAAAAACCCTCTTTTATTTAGGATTTGACTTTTGGACATACACTCGTTTTTGAGAAGAAGATTCCTTTTCTTATCTTATCTTTTATAGTATAAGACGGATAGTATTGAGAATGTGACATTATTTCTTATATCGATGGCTAATTGAAACTGCTGCGCCTTAATCTCAACATATTCTTACAAATTTGATTTCTCTCTGATAATATCATTGTTATAACACCACTTACTGCACTTTAAACTTAACTCCATTTGCTCGGCGAACTTCGGCTTTTTACCTCGCTTTTATTAGCTCGGGGTGTAACTATGTAATATTGATGCGCCTAAAAGATGCAGCAATTTCCATTTTCAAGTTACATACCTGAGATAACAGTACGAATGAGAATTGCTTTAAACTTCCATTCTTAAAGTAACCTGATGACAGTACGAATGGAAATTTTAATAGCGAGGTTTTAGTTTTTTAAACTATAATTTTGTTATGGTCTTTATTGTGAACACTTATTAATTTTACACCCCCTCTACAGCTCCCGATTGGTCTACAAAAACTCCAAACCAGACTTTGTGATCTGCACACACCGGCAACTGATGGACGAGGAGGGACACGATTTGCTGGGCAAACGAACAATGGACTTCAAAGTGAGCTATTTGGATACGGGACTTGCGTCCACATACTTCTCAGAGGCAGATCAGCTGGTGGTACCGCCAAGCACTTCACCAAATGCGCTGCCACCGCCAGTCACACCTACGCGGCCAAATCGACGCTATAAAACGCAATTACGTGATTTTCTCTCCACCTGTCGTACGAAACGTAAAATGCAACAACAACCACAACAAACATCACCACTGGGGCAGGTAAGTTGGAAGCTTTATTTTACAATCGTTTTTACAAAAGCAGATTTTCCTAACTAAACCCAGCATTTACAATTTCAGGTCACCTCACCCGCGCCCGTTGTCGAATACCTGCCCGATCCCGCTGTGGCTGTCGCCGCCGCCTACTCCAATCTCAATCCCATGTACACCACCTCGCCCTATGCCACCGCCGCGGATAACATCTACATGGGCACCTCAGTGCATTCGACCAATTTCTATCCCGTGACCGAGAATCTCTTCCATCAATATCGACTGCAGGGCGTGAGCAGCTACTACACAGACTATCATCACTCCGGCGCGCCCGCCTCCGCCTATGTGACCAATGGCTTCCTGCCCTACGATGGCTATACGATCGCGCCCAAGGACGACAAGTGGCAGGACACGGGGAAATACTATAGTGGCTATAGTAGCGGGTATGGCAGTCCCACATCGACGCCACAGGTGAGTCCGTGCTACTTTGGCGGCCATTTTCACGCTCACAACAACAATGTGTTGCACGATTCGTTGTAGCAAGTTCCTCTGAAGACGCCAAAATCCTCGCCGCACATCATGGAAGTGGTGTCATGTTCATCGGATGGACCCTCGCCCATAGATGGCAGCGCCTCTGCTGCCGCCACCGCCGCTGCTGCTGCGGCTGCTGCATCTGCGCATGCGGCCAGTGTGAGTGGCAATACGAGCGCGACAACTAACGGTAGCGGTGGCGGTGGTGGCGGCACAACAATTCCAAAAATCGAACCCTATGAGCGACAGACGGTGCTGATGTGGGGCTCGCAGTCCAGTGGCATACCGATCAACAGCATAAGCGGTGGCAGCGATAGGCATCATCACAGCAACAGCGAGCGTTCGCCGCAGAGTACGCCACTCGCAAATGGGCTCAGCTATGCCAATAACAACAACAACGAAAATGAGGTGGTGAGCGCAAAGTGGAATGGCAGCGCGAGCGCAAAAGAGGCCAAAAACGCGGTCACGCCCGACAACTATCAGCTGCAGCATGATGACTCGGGTCTATATTCTTCTTCCTCGCACACAACTTCGCCGCAGCAGCAGCAACAGCATCAACAGCAACAGGTGCCGCCTCCAACTCAACAACAACAACAACAACCTGCACAATCAACACAACACGCCAGCGGCAATTCGGTGGCTGAGCAACAACTTTCTAATACCACTGCCCCACATTTGGTGGCGCTCCCGCATACGCAACAACAGCACTTGCACACCCACGCGCACAGTCACGGCCATAGCCATATGCAACATCCTGGCGGCGGCGGCGGCGGCAGCGGTGTTGGTGTTAACGCGCCCACTGCCGCTTCTGCCATCGTACCGCTGCACGCTGTGCACTCAGCGCGTTCAGACACAGGCTCAGCGCCAACACCTGCCTCAGCGGCTGCAGTAGCAGCGGCGGCGGCAGCAGCGGCAGCTGCCTCAGCAGCACAACAACACGCAGCACATTCACAGCACGCAGCGGCGGCGGCAGCTCACCATCATCACGCCCATGCGCACGCTCATACGCATGCCGCTCATGCTGCCCATGCGGCTCACGCGCACTCCCATTCTCATCCCCATCATCCGCATCATCATCATCACGCGCATGCGCATGCGCACGCCCACGCTGCTCATGTTGCCGCAAATGGCAACGAGGTATGGAGTCCTGCGTACTCGCAATATTCGCATTCGTATTTCTCTTATCACCATCATCACCATCACCATGCCACCACCACCACCAACAACACAATCAGCACTGCAAATCCTGCTTCTTCTACTTCTTCCTCCAACACTGCACACATCTCACATGTTGTGGCGGCTGCTGCTGCTGCTACGCAGCATGCGGGAGGCGCTCTGTGAGCTTAGAGTTACTAGAGAATATACATACACGTACTGAATAATAGATTTGGGCTGATTTATGTAAATGTAGTTTGGAGACGACGGCAAAGGTAGCAACATAAAATTGTCATAGTTATGTGTAGGTGCTGTAAATACTGAGACGACTTTCCATTTCCAAGGAGTAGCATGTCATCATTTTCTAAAGACCGAACAGCTGAGGAGAAATAGAGAATTGAGGTTTCCCGAGTTAAAAAAAATGCCTTGACTGCCTTCGTTCCACGCTGAGGCAAAAGGTCTTTTATACCACATAGGACCTGGCTTTTTAGCAGCGGTCTTTGAGCTGAAATATGTTCAGGTACTCTTACGTGACCTATTCATAGTTATTCTTTGCAGTACAGCGCGCTGTGTGTGCCTAATTTCAGGTTAATGAGGAGTTGCCGATGGAACGGTCGTGTAAAAGTTCATTGATCCATCTTTGCAATTACTGCTCTAATTCCACTCGTCTCTTAACATGGTTTGAGAGAATAGCCTATTTCCTAAAATAGCCTATTTCCTTGGCTAGATCTGAAGCTGGGTTGTTTCGGTTACGTAGACCCGACTGTCTACCCGACTGGACACCGATTAAAAACGGCCTGCAATAGAATTCCACAGCCCCTTAGAGCTCCTTCTTCCGCCGAGAGCCGTCTAGGAAGGCAAATTTGAGAGGTTTATCAACTACACACCGATGGAACGCGGAGTTGAAACAGCCATTTCCTATGCATCCGGAAATATGATCAAGCCATTTGCTTGACTTCGCAAATATTGTATTTACTATCGCTGTAGGCTGCTGCCTTAAAGCGCAGCAATTTACGCGGCCATCAAGGTGAACGGGCTGCAATTTTCTCTCATAGCCGCGCAGCCATTGTTGCTTTGGCGTCTTTTACAGCAAAGTTGACGCTGGTTAAGGATTGTAGGACTCGTTTGAATAGAGTTAGAATTTAGTTATTTTAAAGTGGATTTATTTTGGGTCCTTCTTCATCGCAATATTTTCCTAAATGAAGCTGCTGATGAGCCAAGAAGAGTTCCACTTAGGTCTCATCAGTAGGTAGAACCTCACACCCAATCGCAACTTTTTGCAAAAGATATTCAGACTTCAGTACCATTTGCCATTTCTCTCAAAACATCTATCTCAAGAGTCCCATACCTAATCCTAACAACATCAGCGCAGTGTTCCACCTTCTTTTGAGTGCAACATGTTAATATATCAACATGTCGTCCCATAATGTTCCTAGAGACGTAGTAATTTTGTATAACATCCCTGCGCCAATAAAAGTATATACATACATATTTTCTGGCTGAGCTAACGAACAATTTTGTTTCTAACATTGTTGCACAGCAAAGTTTCTACACAGTCAGGCAGTTTGCCCAGCAACATGTCTGAAGGTGTGAATGTGTATGGTTGCACAAAAATATTTTCAGCAACATGTTCCTAAAACAAACAATGTGCTACATGTGTCTAAACATTTTTTATTTTATTTTGTAAATTTTTAAAGAACTGGCCTCAGATCGACAATATTGTTCACAGTTGAATATGTTGATAGCAACAATGCTGCGCACTAGTGTTTCTACACATTTAGTCAGTTTTCCCAGCAACAGGTATGTAAATGTAATTGCATGGGAAATAGGCGGGAACAAAAATGTTTCCAGCAATATATCCTGAAAAACTGACTGACATGCGGCATCATGAGCTTATTGAGAGTTAAATATGTTGATAGCAACAGTGTTGCGCACCAATGTTTCTACACACCCAGTCAGTTCGCCCAGCAATATTTAAAGCGCGATTACCTGTGAAATAAACGTGCACGAAAATGTTGCCCGCAACATGCTCCCGAAAAAATGTTGCGCAACATGTCTCTGAAAAAAAAAATTTTTTTTCTTAAACTTAAAAAGAACTGCACAAAATTTGCCAATTTTATGTTGCGTTTGCTTTTCTTGTGTTATCAATGTAATTAGTTACAGCACTCAAATCACTCTTATGCAGAAAAAAAATATTATATATAATATTTATTTGCAATATATACTTGTATGTGTCAAAATTGTGCTCACATTCTTGTATACAAACAAATATGATTTTGTAGTTAAATATACTAGTATAAGTATAGGTATATGTTGATATTGTTGTTGCTGTTGTTATCTACACAAAACTTAGTTAAAATTTTTGCTGTAAAAATGGGCAATTCGCACCATCACTACTTAGTACTATAATTTTGAACACAATTAAATGAACTAAACAAAATTATGTAGACATTCAATGAAACTTACCGAACTCAGTTTTCTACTAACACTCAACAAATTTTTTACCTCCTCCAACGCAAAATCGAAACAAACAAATACAACCGCAATCAACCAATCGCCAACAGATCCTACTTAGCCATCAACAACAGCAGCAACAACTGGAGCAGCAGCAGCAACAGCAGCTGGAACTGCAACAAATCAGCTATGCCAATCAGATACAAACACTCCCCGGTTGCAACTCCAACGCCTCGTCTAGCTCATCGCCCACATGCCACTCGCCCAATGGAGGTGGAAGTAACGGAGTTGCTGCCGCCACCGCTGCCACTGAGCACATAGCTCTGTTAAATGGCAGCGATGCCGATATCGCAGGGGCAGTTGCCGTTAGTGCCGCCGCTACAGCTGCCTATCATCATCACCATCAGCTGACAATCATAGCGCCAATAGTTATTACACCAGCGTCAATGATGAATGGCGATGGTGCGCTACCAATGAGCACAACGCTGCAGCCAATACATGCCAGCGAAGCGATCACCACAACATCAGCATCGGCGCTCAATGGCATCGATGTGAGTAGCGGTGCGCTAAGGCACAATCTGACGCATCATCCATCCATAGCGCAGCATCCATCTGCACATCTATTGTCACATACAGCGCTAGCCTATGCGCCGAACGCTGCCGCTACAGCGACATACTTGATTAGTGGCAGCAGCGGCAGCGGCAGCGGCAGCGGCATCAGTGAGCCGATAATAGCAAATGGAAATCCACTTTGCTCCTTCTCGGAGGTGACTAATACGCTGCTGAATCAGTAAGTACTACTCGGAAGGTGGTGCATAGAGAAGGCGTTGAAAATATTAGGTAATTGCCAACTGTCTACAAACATGTGTGAATATGCATATAACTACGTAGGTACATATGTATGTATATGTAGCTTAGGTTTGTCTGATTAAATGTTATCAATTTTAGATTTTTAATTTATTTAAATATTCTTTATACATATGTATGTATGTAGATAGGCTGTCTTAAAATTTCAAATTTAGTCTTGAGCTTTCAGTCTCTTCTTATCCTCAAAATAAATTTAATCAAAAATCAATAAAAAATTATTTGACAAATTTGACTATCATAAGCTTATCGTAACAATACGGCATCCGCACATTTACCAGTTTTAACAACTTTTTTTAAATTAGTTTAGTATTCATTCCATAACTAAAACCAGATAAATCAAAGCTTCAAAATTTGTACAAAAATTAAAAAAAAAAATCAAACAAGTTTCACTTAAATTTCAAGCTTTTTAATAAGAGTTTTAAAAATTTGATTCATATGAATTTTGCTATAGAATGACCTATATTTTAATAAAGAAAATTACTAAAATTAAATTTTTTTTTTAATAAATGGTCAAAACTTTCCAAGATGTGGGTGTCATATAGTTATGATAAGTACTATATTTTAGTTTATTTTGTTTAATTCGATTTAAATTTCGTTAAATATTTGTCATAATTTTTTTATTGGATATCAGATGCACAAATTAGTATCGGTATGCTACAAGTAAATTCAAAAAGGATTTTTTTCTCGAGGTTGAAACATTATTGTGCATTATTATTATTGAGAGTAATTCAAGTGGCTGGCTATGGCTATTTTTAACTTTTCAACTCGTCTTTGGAGACCAAGAAATTATTAAGTCAATACCTTCTACTGAAGTGAAAGCTACTCCTGTTAGAACGTTCTGCATCGACCAACACAAATGGTATTTTGCTGGTGCTGAGTCAGTGACCCTGGCTCGCCGTGTTTAACATACGCCTTCTGGTGACAATACAAAAAAAAACACCTTCGATTCCTAACGTTGAAGGAGCATTTGGGATATGTTGTTCGTTAGCTCTTAGTTTAAGTTCATGAGGCACCCATTTTCCGACTTTCTTGAACTTACCAGTGGTTTTCAATCGAAATGAAATGTCTTCGTCTAAAATTGCCTTCTACTCGGCGCCTATAATCGTTGATGGCGTCCCTTCGCGCTCCTTGTTGGTTTTGTCAAAATTACCATCGCAACCGATGACTTTATGCTGCAATTTCTTCTTCCCGGGAAATAAGTTTTGTAGGCACAAAAGCTGACATAGTCGCCGCACGAAAAAATGGTACATATTGCGAAATGCCGTTAAATGATGACGACTTAACATGAAGTTGACTACAACAGTGTCTGGTATATTAAAATAATGGTGCCCTCTGTTGAGAATCCTTTAAAGCTTACCTCTCTACCCAATAACTGCTGATTTTAAAACTTTCTACAAAAACGAATTTTTATTGAAAAATTTTAGAATAAATTATTTGGGATTTTAAGCTTACTTCTAAAATTTCCGAGCTAATGAAAATTGAGCCCCTACAAAAACTGTAAATATGTACATACTTATATTTGGTTGATTTAATTTCTTTTTTTGCAAAATTAATTTTAGTCTTAAAGTTATAAATATATTGCTAAAAGTATGCATTCCATCCATGTATCTATTCAGTGTTGTAACCAAAAACAAAAAAAAATTATAATATTAACGCAGTCAAAACGCATCTTAAATACGTCAAAATATTTAAGATTAAAAAAAAATTTAAAAATAATAATACCATTTTGCCAAAAGACATATGGACTATATAAATCTTCCATAATCTGAAATAATGCAATCTAAGAACTTTTAAAATCATAAAGTAAAAAATACAAGATAAATCGTAAAATATCTCCTTTCCTATCAAAAGACTTAAGACACGAACTTGTTGCTTGCAAAGACTTAGGATACGAACTTCTCCTTATGTTTTGCTATAATCTCTCGTCCCATTTCTGCGTTAACCTAAGCATATAGGTGGGTTAAAAAAAAAACGAATAAAGTATTTTAAAGCAACAATTTTACAACGCGCTAATAAAGAACAAAATGACTTATGGTATCTTGAGGTGAAAAATTTACAGCGCAGAGTTCGTTCAGTAGAGAAAATATAACTTTTTGTTTAATAAATATATGCGCATAACACAGAAATAAAATGTTATGTAGTTATATAAATGGCAAATTCAAGTATAAAATATTTGTATCAAAACTATAGAGAGAGACAGGTATGATTTAAAGTATACTGCAGGAACGGTCAAGTGCCGTTACCCGCAAGAAATCGTCGCTCAACTGCCCCCGTCGAGTCTCTGGGGGTTCGCAGTTGCGGCAGAGGCCACTGGAAGAAATACCAATACTTTCGCACATACACCCACGAGATAACGTCCTATGCAGGCAACAGTGAGTTTTTAGATATTTTATTTGCTCATTCCTTACAGGTCCCTCGTTTTAAGTGGATCTCAATTATACCAGTTCTGTCCATCTGCCTAGCAACCCTATACGACCTTTTACCGCTTACCATAATTGTTGAGATTTGGAGTGATATTTGACTTGCCACTCATTTAATGCAGAGCTTCAACTCGCTAGTTCATCTACAGTCATCTACGGTGGCGGGAAAATAAATAGGAACGCAGCATTTTAACAAGTGTTTGCTATTTTTCATTCGTTTATTTAGAGTATAATATTTTTTTTTTTTATGAAAGAATACTCGCTATCTAACAGAAACTATGTTGGTCCGAATTTCAAACTTAATACAAAAATTCGAGAAAAGTTCATCCAAACTTTTATAATTTCATTTTTAGAAAAAAAAATTAACTTCTCGAACTAATAAAAAAAAATACATTTCTACAATTAGCGCCACTTTTTAAGGACTCTACAAACTTTACTGAAAATATTATTGAAAAAAATATTTAACATTAAATAAGCGGAAGAAGAAACTTGTTAAAAAGTCCGCGTCCCTAATTATTCGCCCGCCACCGTACACATACAGTGACGGGCAAAACTGTGACATGGTGTAACACTTTTTACTTCAGCCATCGCTATCTTTCCAAGTTCTAACGACTTCCATACTTTTGTTGTATATTCTTGTTGGTACATCCCTACCCCCTCTCTCATAAAGATTTAAAGTCAATACAACAACAATAAAAAAACCAGCAGACAAAAATGTAAATTAAGGCAGATGTTACAGTTTTGCACTCATATATTTTTAAGAACTTTTTAACAATTTTCGCGAAAAAAAAGAACTACTCACACAATGTCCAGTACTCTTTTGCTTGTTTCAGTTCCTGGATGCGATTTGGCATACCTTATTTGTATATTTGTAAAAATTTTTATATCCTTAGTTTGCTTTCACAGCTCATGTACTCGATTTTACGGACTTTGATACTTAGTAAGCTGTGCTTTTAGTTGTTTTCGCAAATTCCCAATGAGATTCATGTCCGCGGATTGTGGAGGTCATTTGAAATTAGCAAATTTTTCCTTTTGTATCCAGTCTTTGCGAACATGTGCAGTGTGGTTTGAGTGATTTTTCAGCAGAAACTCTCATTTTTTCGACTACATCTTGCAAATTTTGTTGAAATATGAACAGATACTCTTCCTTACGCATAATACATACTAACGGAAAAACAAAATTTTTGAAATACAACCCCAAACTATTATTGACCGAACACTGTTATTCACAGTTTGCCTTACATGCTGCGCATGGGCTTAATTTGGGTCTTTGATCCAATACCATGCCCGGCCATTCGATTGAAAGCGATTTATTTAGTCTTGTCAGAACATATAACCTTTAATTGAAACTTAAAAATATGTTTTTTATTACATTCTGAACGGCCTAACATATCCCAATAGGCAACGGTTCGGTTTTCGTGCGATGCAGCGAAATGCTGCCACACTCGCACATTTATTTTGATCAAATTTGCTTTTTTCTTCTTTATGATGCCTTTGCGCTCAATTTGGCAATTCTTCGCCTCGCTGTCTATTAATTTGCATTAAAGTTTAATACCTTAAGCGCATCTGTAATAGTGGCTGCATCGCTACTTGCTGCTAAGTTCGTGCGGTCCCGCCTTGCCGCAGTAAATCTATTATTTACATTTATGGTTCCTGAATAACTATGTTATTTACTGGTGATCACTTCTTCAATAAATTACAATATAGAAAAAAGGCACATGACTTTCAACTAAGTAAGAGATAACTGTCAAATGCAAAACTGAGAGTGAGTGCAAAACTGTAACATCTGCCTTAATTTACATTTTTGTCTGCTGTTTTTTTTTTTTTGTTGTATTGACTTCAAATCTTTATGAGAGAGGGAGTAGGGACGTACCAACAAGAATATACAACAAAAGGATGAAAGTCGTTAGAACTTGGAAAGATAGCGATGGCTGAAGTAAAAAGTGTTACACCATGTTACAGTTTTGCCCGTCACTGTATATCCTGGATTCCATATTAGGGTAATTTCTAATTATTCAGAACTCGTGGGTAACACTTTTCTACAGTCCTGCACAATTTGCGAATTAACCGAGGAAAAATGAGGTCCCTGAAGTTTCGGCAGGCTATCTAAAAGATATTCACCCGAATTCTCGCGAGTGCGTGGTTTTGTGTGTGTCTGCTTTCAAGGAGTTCAGCGGAGGAAATGCGTTTTCTGGTAGTTGAAAGGTGAGGTTTAGTTGAGTTGGTGAGCGAAAAATACATTCAGTTTCCGATCCCTTTTTTGAGATAGCTTGCTCCCCCCAAGCGCTGAATCACCCAATTCACTAGCTGCGGCTTTTGAATTTTGTACAGGGTTTAGATCTGTGCCTTTTCCAATACCCTGAAGCCCATAGTTGGATTTCGCTGGTAGCAGCTGAACTCTGTGAAGTTTTTTTTTGTGAGGTAATCCAAAACAACTCCATGACATTTCCGGCTATGTAAGAGATTGTGTTTTGTACATTTGAATTTAGTTTTGATAGAAATTGAGCATTTTGTCGTATATATTTGTGAAGAGCATAAGGTCAGTTTTCTCCTCGGCATAAGTAACCACCTTGATGACCTGGAAATACCGAATTGACTAGTAGTTTATTCAGGATCTCAGGCCAAAAGTTGTGGTAAAATTACTCCTTCTTACCGGATGCCTCTACCTGCATATGAAGCTGTCTCAGTACTTAGCACGTTGTGTACTTAGGGCGTTGTTCACCGACTCCGCTGTAATTATATCTCGTATTTGGTTGGAAAGTCAGAATCCGCAAATATCTGAGTTCCGAAAATCAAATTTTGAAGGGCATTCATTATTTTTAGGTAATTTTTTAACACTTTGGAGGGTTTAAGTTTAAGGAAAATATCATAACT